AAAAAAATCATAAAAACTGTCATTAATTCTTGAAAATTGGTTGACTGAATTTCTCTTCTGCTTTATAATCGATCGATTTTCACACACAACAATAAATAGTGCTGACTAGTGTTTGTTTGCTAAAACGCACTAAATTCTAACGGAATAGATGAAATATAATATCTATTAGGGGAATCGAGAACACTTGTTTTTATTCCATTTAGAACTCATCGTCGGTTACTGCTTTTCGATCATAGGTGTCTTCGAAGCATTGCTCGTATATCGTGGGACACCCGAGTGAGCAACGCTGTTATAAGGAATCGGGTACTAGGTAAGAGTGGCAGATCAATAGATGAAGTAATGAAACTTCATCAGTTGAGGTGGTTGGGACATGTGTTGCGTATGCCCAACTACCGACTGCCTCGTCGAGCTTTGTTTTGTGGTGTAGGAATAGGTTGGAAGAAAGTTAGGGGCGGTCAAATCAAAACATGGCAGAAATCCATGAAGTGATTGACAAGTGGACCTAGCCATGTCGGTAATTGTCGACTACTTGGTTTGGGTTCCCGAGATGATAATAATCGATGGTTAGATACCCTGAATGACATGGCTCAAAATCGTTCGTAATGGCGCCGGTGCATTTATTCTTTGTGTTCTCTCAAATCCTAATCTTCTGGATTCTTCAACACCTCTAGTTTTGACTTTCTAAACTTTTCTCACTGAATCATACTTCTTGAATAATATCTTCTAATCCTAACCTCTCCGATTACTTCTAATACCTTTACTACCTCTTCTACTATTAGATTTGAATTGACAATTACATCTCTGTGCTGATGTGGTATGGCAACATGAACTGATGTACTTATGTACGAAGTTCTACGTTGCATCTGACTGACTAACTGACTGATTTAAAACTCATCAATCGGATGTATCTAGATCCTAGAGTTGATGTTCACTGCGGGCCTGGTACCCCAGTAGCTTTGACCTGAAACACACCAAAGCGTTATCCACATAGCTACTAATGAGTCCAGTTAGTCATTCACTTATATCATCTGTTCTATGTTAACGTTTATCATTATGGCTATATTTATCAAGGCAGTCAGCTCAGGATTTATCACATATGTCAACTAAGATTGATCAAATTTTTAGTCAAATTATCAACAACAAAATAATCTACACTATCATTACCAATTGCAGTCAGTCAGTCAATTACAACGTAGAACTTTTCGTATGTGAGTACATAAGTCCGTGTCGCCATACCGCATTAGCACAGAGACGCAACTGACAGTTCGAATCCCATGGTGGTAGATATAGTAAAAGTATTAGCAGTAATGGAGAGAAGATTAGGGAGTGAAGGTATGATTCGAGAAGTATAATTCAGTGAGATAAATTTAGAAGGAGAAAGATAGAGTTGTTGATGAATTCAGAAGAATAGAATTTCAGAGAACACGACGAGTAGATGTACATTTTCTGGTTAGCGTTTTTTTGGCAAGTTAGTTTTTGACGGAATGGTGTCACCAACCCCATGTTCAACCCTCCTCCTTTACTCGGGCTTGGGACTGGCAGTAGGCCGGAAGGTTCTACTGGCGGAGTTAGTGGATGTACCTGTGCCATTCCAAATGATTTTGAGCTATGTCGTTCAAAGTCTCTAACCATCGGTGACTTTCGTCTCGCGTACATTCATCTTTAAACGTTTTCATTTGATTAGAAAAAAAAATGAGTAACAGATCTTGATAGTAATTTTCTATTTGAAAAATTTATTTATGATTGATTAGTTAGTCATTTAAATAAAATAAAATGTAAATTTTTGTTTTTTTTTAAAAAAAATTTAAGAATCAGTTATAGTGAGTGTCCTCATTTAATTTTTTCATTGGTTATGTCCAAAGTTCTGTATGAATTATTGTGTTGTACACACAATCAATCAATCTATCCATCCATCATTATTATTATTATGATACCACCACTGTCTATCATAATTTTCTTAATCATAAATTAACATTCATATTTTCTACATTCATGTGTAAATTTTAATCTATTTTTTTCGTTTAAACATGAAAACTTGTTTCAATGAATGGATTGATTATTTAATTAATTAATTAATTCAATTTTATTTGAATTAATTTATTGTAATCATTTTCATTGTTCAATTTTTACATGTTTGAAATGTGTTTAACACACTGACTGAATTCTGGTTTCAACATTGTGTTGTGTATGAGCATATATATTACAGTTAAGTTGATAATCCGTGTGCCTAACCACCGACTGCTGCCTTGTCGAGCTATGTTTTGAAATGTAGGTATGTATAAGTTGGGAGAAAGCTAAGGGCGGCCAAACCAAAACATGGCAGAAATCTATGAACTGACTGACAACTGGACTGAGTCATGTTGGTAGGTGTCGACTATCTGGTTGGAGTCCGCGAGATGAAACTCACCGATAGTTAGAGACCTTGAATCGCATGGTTCAAAATCGTTTGCAACGGCGCAGGTGTATTTATCCTTTCAGTTCTCTCAAATCCTAACCTTCAGAATTCCTCATCACCTTTATCTGTTTTTTTAAATTTTTATGTCACTCGATTCTACTTTTTGAATAATATTGTTGAACCCTAAGATTTCCAATTACTGCTAATATTTGAAATCATTAATCAATCATCATTGTTAGACCACCATTAGAAACCTGGAAGCACTGGACGGCCGTTTCGTCTTGGTATGGGACTCATCAGTGGCAGTGCGCATCCACGACTCCTGCTCCTCGCAGGATTCGAACCCGGGACCTTTGGCATTGTAGGCGAACGCCTTACCATCGGACCACTGGGCCGGCATCCAACGGTGTCAATGTCTAACTCTGATTGATCTAGGGATTTTGCGCGACCTCACCTTTTTTTCTTTGGTAGTTACTGCATACACTCGACAGGGTTGAACTCTATTGGTAACGTCTTCTCAACTAGAACTCCGAGAATTTCCTCACGAAGCTAGTCACTAGTGAGCACTGTTACGACATATTGGGGCACAGTTTTGGAGGTTATGCGTTTGTACACATTTGAAATCATTAATCAATCATCACCAAAGGCAATTGGGTGAGGTCGCGCAAAATCCCTAGATCAATCAGAGTTAGACATTAACACCGTTGGATGCCGGCCCAGTGGTCCGATGGTAAGGCGTTCGCCTACAATGCCAAAGGTCCCGGGTTTGAATCCTGCGAGGAGCAGGAGTCGTGGATGCGCACTGCTGAGGAGTCCCATACTAGGACGAAACGGCCGTCTCTCAGTGCTTCCAGGTTTCTAATGGTGGTCTAACAATGATGATTGATTAATGATTTCAAATGTGTAAAAACGCAAAACCTCCAAAACTGTGCCCCAATATACTGCTAATATGCCTACTGCCTCTCTACTACAATGGGATCTGAATTGACAATTACATCTCTGTGCTAATGTAATGTGTTCTGGCAACTTGAACTGATGATGTACGTACGTATGAAGGTGTTGATTGATTGAAGTTGATAATCATTTCAAAAAATAATTTATTTATTTAAAATTAGAATTCATCATGAACTTGTGGCAGTTGTAGAACTTGTGATAGTTAACCAAGCAGTAATGTGTAGACGATCTTAGTTCTATGCGTCCATAACTAACTACCCTCTCCTCCTTCATATTGGGTGTAAACTAAAAAGTCAGTAGCAACCGGTTTTTCAGCAAGTGTACTATATTATCAAAACCTGATTACACATTCGTCGGTTCTATTGCACACTTTTGTAGTTGTCTTATTGCAATAATGGTTTATCTGAATAGATTCTTGTTATCCATTTGTTATTACAGTGAAAGTTAAAAAGTGTTTTGTCATGTCAATAAGTTCACCACTGCTTAATTATGCGTGCTTAAAAGTAAAATACAATGTACATTGATGTAATTCACTGCTAAATGTTGAAAAAAATTATTATCTGTGCTTATCTTTTTTACCAGTCACTGATATCATATGATACTGTTTACTAAAATATACTATCTCTGTCTCCAGTTAGTAATCCCTCTTAATGAACAGAAACGTGCCGCTTATGTATTTGTGAAGTTTATCTATTACTTGTAGACTATGCAAGATTTTCATCTGTCTATCACTGAACAGAGGATCTCATGTGTAAGAATTGGCACTGTTGTACACTTTGTTATGACTGTGAAATCATGAAATTCTCAATGAGTTTGTAGGTATCCATACCAAGTTTGTGTTTGATAGTTTCATATAAATTGAGAAAGATATTTTTTTAAAAAAATATTTAAGATTGAAGAAAAGTAATCACCCACTGATAAAAACTACTTTTAATTATCTAAAAAGGTGATGTTCATAATCTTTCAAATCAATTATTATTTATAAACTTCATAGTTATCAAATAATTTTGAACATTCATAATTCAGTCAGTCAGTCAGTTGCAACGTAGAACTTCGTTCGTATGTACATCAGTTCATGTTGCCATACCACACACATTAGCACAGAGACGCAAATGTCAAATCAAATCCCATAGTGATAAAGATAGTAGAGGTATTAATGGTAATGAAGAAGAATAGGGTTTGAAGATATTATTCAAGAAGTATAATTCAGTAAGATAAGATTAGAAAGACAAAGGTAGAGGTGTTGACGAATCCAGAAGATTAGGATTTCAGAGAACACAAAGAATAAATGCACCGGCGCCACTGCAAACGATTTGGAGCCATGTCGTTCAAGGTCTCTAACCATTGGTGACTTTTGTCTCGCGGACCCCAACCAGGTAGTCTACACCTACCAACATGACTCAGTCCACTAGTCAATGACTTCATTGATTTCTGCCATGTTTTGGTTTGCCCGCCCCTAACTTTCTTCCAACCTACTCCTACACCACAAAACATAGCTCGTCGAGGCAGTCGGTGGTTAGCCATACGTAACACATGTCCCACATGCATAATTAACTACTAGTTTTATATTGTAAATTTCAACCCAGTACTCTAATATTTTTTTTTTCACAAATTAAATTATTAATTTTCTTTTCAATGTATTTTCTAATAGCATCTACTAGGTAAATGTTTAGTTCCAACACCGTTAGCTAATGATTTGGTTAATGATTTCATCAATGGACATTTAAGTTGGAGTTCACCATTGGTGATTTATTTACGCAATGTAACGTGAGTTTATTATTATTACTATTGTTATTATTACCGTGATTTTCTCTTTCTTCACATCATATTCTTCTTAGCCTTTGGGGTCGGGACTCATCATCAAGGTGTATCTAGAATCTTAAGTTTATAGAATTTGATCAAAAACTTTTTTTCTTCACATGTAAGAATATCGTAGGAATCAGGAATTACCCTCATAAACCTTGAAGTATGGGAGTGCTGTTTCATCCTAGTATGGGAGTTATCTGCAGTGAGCATCTCCGACCAGAGGTTAAGCGTTCACACGTGAAACACTGAAGATCCTAGTTTCCATTGCTGCCGGAGAGCGGGGGTCGTTAATGCGCACCGCTAATGAGTCTCATTCTAGAACGAGATGGCCCTCCAATGGTTGCAGGTTTCTAATAATCGTCTAATATATAAGATTAATCATATTTCCAATGAAGAATTAATTCAAGTGTAATAAATATAATGTAAGAAGTTAACTAAAGTCTACCATCTGAAACATTTCAGCAATTAAATAATGTTAATTTTTCCTTAGTTCATAATAAAATACAAGGTACCCACAAGGCACTATTTGAAATTAGAATGTGGTTCTCTGAAATCCGTCCGTAAAGTGTACATTTGCAATTTTTATTTGACTATCTATAATATATTTCTATATATTCTTATGTTTCAAATGAACATTACTTGTCATAGTCAAAATATTCAAACGTTATATCCTGATGCAAATATGCAGAATATTATTCCAACTAGCCGATTTTCAAATTGATGGAGGGGTGAGAGAAACAGTAAGAAAATACCCCACCTGAAATCAACTTGATGTGGTGATTTCAACAAGCTTTTCTCACTGTTTATCCGAGTTTTATGCTTGATTTCAATAGTAGCAACTTCACCGGTTTCTATCGAATTCGTACAGACTATAAACAGATTCATATGTCTTACTTATCTTAACTACTACTTAAGATTCAGACAGACAGATACAATGCAGAACTTCGTACGTCTGTGTACATCAGTTCAGGTTGCCATGCCCCCCATCAGCACAGAGACGCAACTGTCAGTTCAAATCCAAGAGTGATAGCAATAATAGAAGTATTAGCAGTAGTGGAGAAGATTAGGGAGCGAAGATATGATTCGAGAAGTATATATAATTCAGTGAGATAAATTTAGTAAGAGAAAGGTAGAGATGATGAGGAATGCAGAAGGTTAGAATTAGAGAGGACACAGAGTGAATGCACCTGCGCCATTACAAACGATTCTGAGCCATATCGTTCAAGGTCTCTAACCATCGGTAACTATCATCTCGCGGACCCCAAACAGCTGTAGCCTACATCTACCAACATGACTCACTCCACTTGTTGTCAATGACTTCATGGATTTCTGCACTACTTAAAATTGAAATTCCTTGATTATTTGAATCGGTCATACTTGTTAATTCACTTGAAATATCACTAATTATGATTGTTATGTTTTTTTTTCAAATAAAAAAAATTGTCTATCACTATTTCTTTGTGTTTATTTTCTCCTTTGATATTATATCATAGTTTTCTTAGTGCTGAATTAGTTGGTCTATCCCAGTTAAGTACTAATCTTGCATCCATAATCCAGCCGAACACAACCGATAATAATTATGAATTAATTTGTCAACAATTTATCTCATTTCTCAATGATATTTACGCATGTTTTGATGTATTAGCTCAAAATGAATCATGTTATCGTGTACGATTAAATGCTAATGAATATTTATGCATTGCTGGCTATCCGGAAACTCGTGTAGATCATGCTAGATCATGCATTGATTTAGGATTGAATATGTTGAAACTGATTGGGTAAGTGTGTGTATACACTCAGTTGAATTGATGTTTATACATATATATATATGTAGTTGATGCTGTCTGTCTGTGTGTGTTTTGGTCTTAAAGACCTGGGTGCGTAACCTCAGAGCCCAAGGGACAACTGCTTCAGGCCGGTCACGCACGGCCTTTTCATGAGAAGTTTTTTGAGTATTAGCTCCGCTCTTGAAAGCCCTTAGTGGGCACCCTTACCAACGGAGACGGAAATCCGTGACGTAGGGTGAGGTGTGACATTTTTAGGGTCGACATTTCCTAACCCTTCCTTCTTTGTGAGAAGGCAGCATCGCTGCAGATTCTGGTTGTCCGAGGGAAACACCTTACTGCTGTCACACACCTCCATGACAGTCAGTTAGCAGTACGACTTCTCCCTCAGACCTTGAGTAGCTGCTTTTAATCTCATCGTTCTCCAATCGACCTGTCTGGCATGGTAGAACCTTCAGGAACATAAGTTCCAGCCAATATAGCTCGGTTGGGTCATCACGATAGGCAAGCCCGACCACCACGACAAGGTAGCAGCTACGGTCGGGACATTAAGTAAGTTCAATTTAATGCACTCTAAGTCGGCATAGGTATGAATTCTTTTACAACGTAGTTGTAAATTTTAAAATCTCTACTTTGATGCTAGATGATTTAGGCTTAATGGTTCTGTACTTACTTACGCCTGTCACCGCCGTTGGAGCATAAGGCCGCCGATCAGTGTTCTCCAACCTACTCTGTTCCGGACTTACCTTTCCAGTTCTGTCCAATTTTCGTTCATTCTTCTTCTGTCTGACCTCATTTCTCGGCCTAATGTGGTTCTTAGCCTTCCTCTTTTCCTTTGACCTTGAGGGTTCCAAGTGAAGACTTGTCTTGTGAGGCAGTTGGGTGCTTTTCGCATTGTTTGTCCTATTCACTTCCAGCGCTTCTTCCTGATTTCCTCCTCCATTGGAATCTGGTTTGTTCTCTCCTTGTCGTGACACTTGAAAGTTTAACGTTTGACCTGTGATGAACTTACGTGCATGCGTTGCTGATGAAAGTCGAACTGAGGTAAATCAGCCGTCCAGTAGTACTTGATAGTTTTCAGTGCTGTCCCCATACTGGGATCACTCCATGGCTATTACCTTCAATATTTTTCAATGTCTATTAGTTTCCGTTTTTGTCGATGTTTGTAATTTCGATCAAAATTTTACCCTCTTATTGATCCACTCACTACCTTAGGAAACAACAAGTAAAACAAGTACCACTTAATGTAGTAAAAATTTCATTACGTTTATATTCTTCTGTATGAGAATTCTCATAAATTAGTAGTAATCGCTTTATTCAATAGTTTTTATTTGTATTCGTGTTTCGTTGTGTCGATGATGTTAAAATAGTGTTTATCATCATTGAAGTGTTTCAGTTGATCGTATGAAGAATGATTTGTAGACATTGTAATTTGTAATTGTGTTATTACAATAATTATATTGGGTATTTTTTTGAAAAAAAAAATCATTTTAAACGTATGTATTAGTTTACTGTATAACCTGTGTATGTGTGTATGTGTGTGTGTGTGTGTCTGTATGTCAGAGAAGAGAATGGACATATTGTGTGAAATAGTTTAAATAACCTTAAATATCGGACAAGTTTTTATATTGGATATTGTGTAAACAATAGAGAATATTCATATGCACAAATTGGTTGTCACATTATTACATGTTTAGTTTAGTCAGAAATGGCTGAACAAGATATTTAACTGAATACATAAAGATACAGTCAGCACCACCACGAACAATAGTAACAAATGTCGATCACTATTATTATTAGTATTATTATTATTATTATTATTACTATAAATAGGTTTTTTGAGTATGATGGTAAATGAAATGATTTCTCAGATGTTATTCATAGTTTGTTGCTCCTTCAAGTTGTGTACTAACTACTCTATGGAAGAATACTTTATTTTTCCAATCTCAATGGCCAAGCGACGACTGTTTGATGCCGGTTAAGTATGACATTTTTTTGAGGAGGTAGTTTTAGATGAGTTAGCTTCTTACTTTTTGAGTCTTATCAGGGACGCACGAAATTTGATGGGGGAGTAAGGTGAAATTGAATGGAACTCACCACTCTACATCAACTTCATCGACTACGAGAAAGCATTCGATAGCGTGGATAGGACAACACTGTGGAGGCTTCTTCGACACTACGGTGTGCCTGAGAAAATATTTAACATCATACGGAATTCTTATGATGGATTCAACTGCGAAATCGTGCACGAAGGTCAGCTAACAGACTCTTTTGAGGTTAAGACCGGTGTGAGGCAAGGTTGCTCACTCTCACCCTTCCTCTTTCTCCTGGTGATCGACTGGATTATAAAGACGTCGACATCTGGAGGGAAGCACGGTATCAACTGGACGATCTGGACTTCGCAGATGACCTGGCTCTTCTATCGCACACGCAACAACAAATGCAAGAGAAGACGACCAGTGTAGCAGCAGCTTCTGCAGCAGCAGTAGGTCTCAACATACATAAAGGGAAAAGCAAAATTCTCCGATGCAACACAACATGCACCAACCGAATCACTCACTCTTGATGGAGATGCCTTGGAGGACGTTAACACCTTTATATATCTGGGCAGCATCATCGACGAGAAAGGTGGATCCGATGCAGTTGTGAGAGCGCGGATTGGCAAAGCGAGGGCTGCATTTCTACAATTGAAAAATATCTGGAACTCCAAACATTTTTCAACAAATACCAAAATCAGGATTTTCAATACAAATGCCAAGACAGTTCTACTGTATGAAGCGGAAACTTGGAGAACTACCAAAGCCATCATCCTATGGATGATAGAAAGATATGAGAGGAATGAACAAACATTGGACAGAACTGGAGAGGGAAGCCCAGGACAGAGTTGGTTGGAGAAAACTGGTGGGCGGCCTATGCTCGATAGGGTGTAACAGGCGTAAGTAAGTAAGTAAGGTGAAATGTGTGTTATTTGTAGGCTGACGTTTCGTAATCGTCTCCTAGTTATGGTTAGGTAACATCTCCCTCCCCATATGCTGTTTATCTCAGCACGAAAGGTTGAAATAAACGAATAAGGTTTTTCAAACTATAAAGAAAGGTGAATAGCTGACACTTTCTATATAATGTTAAACTCTACTTCCTTCAATAGGCAGAAAGGCCTTACTGTTCATCCGACTTGAATGATCTGTCCAAGCATGCTACTATATCTGTTTCTTCTCATATCTCACATTTTTATCATAGATACAAAGTCAATTCTACCCTTTCACATTACAAATATCACATCTTTCATACTCATTAATACACACAAAAAAATACTCAAGTATATCTCACGTGAATCACCTTGACCCGAGTGACATGACTTTGATTTGGTTCGACCTGTTTGTTAATTGATTGATTGATCATATTCATTGTTTTTGCTTTGTTTATTTGTACTTTTTTAATACTTGGATTTAATTTAATTCGTTTATGTATTATTCTCTGAAGAGGAGGTCTACTCTGAGTCATGATACTTTAGAAACTTTTTAGTTTCCTATTCGTTGGAATTCTACAAATATATTGTAGTGAACGAGAACACAGATGGGGCAACCAGATTGTATTTTACGAAAATTACAGAGTTACTCAGTAAAATCGGAAAACCATATCGTAAATCGTTAATTTGCATAATATCAGTCCATAAATATCGAACTGGACTGTTCCTGTTGCAAAACATCAATCCATTGTCACTATTCATGCGTTTCATACAAATTCCATTGTGTTCTTCTAACTCTTCCTTTCTTGATCTTCCCCCCCCCCATCTTCTGCTGCCAGACATTACGTTGACACTCACGTCATATACTACTTATAAGTAGCTCGCACCACAATATTATTTTTATTATTAACAATCTATCCAATGCATAGTTTATTTGAAATTATCAAATCAAATCTCGGCGGTATTGCTACTTATATAAACTAATTTGCTTTATTTTAAAAATCAAATACCATAAACTCGTCAGCGAAACAGGATATATAACTTACTGGTAGTAAGGTCAGTCAGTCAGTCAGTTACAACGTAGAACTTCGTACGTAAGTAAATCAGTTCAGGTTGCCATACCACATTAGCACACAGAGACGCAACTGTCAGTTCAAATCCTATAGTGGTAGAGATAGTAGAAGTATTAGCAGTAATGGAGAAGATTAGGGTTCGCAGATATTATTCGAGAAGTATAATTCAGTGAGATAAATTTAGAAAGAGAAAGATAGAGGAATTCTGAAGATTAGAATTTGAGAGAACACAACCGGTGGATGCACCTGCGCAATTGCAAATGATTTTGAGCCATATCGTTCAAGAACTCTAACCATCGGTGAGTTTCGTCTCGCGGACTCCAACCAGGTAGTCGATACCTATCAACATGACTCAGTCCACAATTGTCAGTGACTTCATGGATTTGTGCCATGTTTTGGTTTGGTCACCCCCAGCTTCCCCCCCAACCTACCCAACAAAACATTGCCCGTCGAGGAAGTCGATGGTCTTCATGAAGACAAATTAGATTAATATTATTAATAGTGATTAAAGTATGGTACATGAACAATGTGACGGTTATGCTACACCAATAAATTCAACGAATCTTCATAACCAACTGCCTGACTAAAACAAAAATCTCCATGTAACTTCCTAGTGACTCAATTCAAATGATACTTTTTGAATTGATTGGATCATTATTAGATGTTGACTAAGCAATCTGAAAAGAATGCTGTCTTGATGACATCCAAGGATCCTATTTTCAATCATTGATGATGGCTTGTGGGTATACATTCTGAGATGAAACATGTATCTACTATTTCATGCTTATCGAAGATTAATCTTTGATGTCAAACTTTAAAAGTTAAAAATCTTCACAATTCCCTACACTAATGTTATAATGCTGCTACATACCTACTATTCCCAGTCTCCGTTAGATGAAGTTGTTTATGGTTTCGAGTACAGTAGAGATGAAGGAAGGAAGGAAGGAAGGAATGGAATACAAAGCTTTACAGATACTGCGTATTGATACTTTTAGGTTGAATAAGAAAGAGTATCGAAGTCTGTGACATTGACAGTTAAGACGACCAATGTGAATGAACATATGAAATGACATTGATAGTCCGAACGACCAATAAGAAACAACATTGTAGTACGTGACATTGATATCTACTAGGACGACCATAAAATTAACCAATAGGAATTGACCAATAATTCTTTAGGATATTGGTTGAATATCCTAACAATTAAAAGCCTAAGAAGAGTAGTGTGTTAATTCCATACATTCAACATCTGTAGTTTTACTGCTATTAGTTATCTGGTTCAGGTGTTTCTTAATAGTGAAATAAGTTTTGTCATGGAAGGAATTAATTCTGTGCTATTAATGTGATTAGTGTTTTTTATTGATTTGAATATTACTGACTCCATTCATAAACAAAATACAATCTGTCACTTTTATGTATAGGAATTCAAGTTTCCTTATTGCATCAACACACACATACACACTCACAGAGCGAGAGAGGATGTGTTAAGCTAAATGACATTTGATGGTTTTAGAAAAGATAATTCTTTAAAAAATTTGATTTATGGAAAAGGAATCGATTCACAGAATGAAATGTATCAAATGTATAAAATGTGAATTGTTTCGCTTAATGTATCTATAACCATTAGTTCCGATAGTCACATGAGTTCCAACCTAGTAGTCTGTATATATATATATATATATATATATATATATATATATATACCTACAGAACCCAATCTTTGTCTAGTTTTACCCCCACGCCTAACTTTATTCAACGCACATAGATGCATCGAAGTAGACATTAGGTAGGTATCAAGCCAACGCCCACTACAATGGTTAGAGACTTTGAATGATATGGCTTAAAATCGTTTTACAATGCAGCAGGTGCATTCATTCTTTGTATTCTCTGAAATTCTAATCTTCCTAATTCCTCATCACCTTTATCTTTCTCCTTTTAAGTTTATTTCACTGAATTCAGTCAGTCAGTCAGTCAGTCAGATGCAACGTAGAACTTCGTACGTAAGCACATCAGTTCATGTCGCCATACCACGTCAGCACAGAGATGTAATTGTCAATTCAAATCCAATAGTAGAAGAGGTAGTAAATGAATTAGAAGTAATCGGAGACGTTAGGATTAGAAGATATTATTCAGGAAGTATGATGATTCAGTGAAAAAAGTTTAGAAAGTCAAAAGTAGAGGTGTTGAAGAATCCAGAAGATTAGGATTTGAGAGAACACAAAGAATAAATGCACCGGCGCCATTGCAAACGATTTTGAGCCATGTCATTCAAGGTCTCTAACCATCGATTATTATCATCTCGCGGACCCCAACCAGGTAGTCGATAATTACCGACATGGCTAAGTCCACTAGTCAATCACTTCATGGATTTCTGCCATGTTTTCATTTGGCCGCCCCTAACTTTCTTCCAACCTACTCCTACACTACAAAACAAAGTTCGTGGAGGCAGTCGGTGGTTGAGCATACGTAACACATGTCCCAACCACCTCAACTGATGAGGTTTCAATGCTTCATCTGACTGAATTATACTTCTTGAATAATATCTTCAAACCTCAATCTTCCCGATTACTTCTAATACTTTTTCTATCTCTATTACTATAGGATTTGAATTGACAATGGTGTCTCTGTGCTAATCTGGTGGTATTGTAGTGAACGAGAACACAGGTGGGGCAACCGAATTGTATTTAACGAAAATTACAGAGTTACTCAGTAAAATCGAAAAACCATATCGTAAATCGTTCATTTGCAAAATATCAGTTCATCATATCGAACTGGACTATTCCTGTTGCAAAACATCAATCGATTGTCACTCACTATTCATGCGTTTCATACAAATTCCATTGTGTTCTAACTAACTCTTCCTTTCTTGATCTTCCCCTTGATCTTCTGCTGCCAGACATTATGTTGACACTCGCGTCATATAGTACTTATAAGTAAGTAGCTCACACCACAGTATGGCAACTTGAACTGATGTACCTGCGTACGTACGAAGTTTTACATTCTAGCTGACTGATTGACTTGGTTATCAAACTAATCGAATTAATGAAATTCACTTTTGATGTCTCTCTTTCTTTTTTTGTCATAAATGTATATATGTATATTTTTCGCATTTATTTTTTTTATGTAGAGAGATTAGTGAAATGGCTCATGTTCAATTGGAATTACGTGTTAGTGTACATACTGGTACAGCTTATGCTATTGTACTTGGTCGTAGTCGATTAAGTTTTGATTTAATCAGTGATGATGTCACTTATGTGAGTCGTTTGAAGTATGCTGCTTATCGTCCATGGTAAGTTTATAATAAATTGTTTTTTATTTAAATCAAAAAAAATGTTTCCATTCACATACTTACTTACGCCTGTTACCCCCAAAGGAGCATAGGCCGCTCACCAGTTTTCTCGAACCAACTCTGTCCTGGGCTTCTCTCTCCAGTTCTGTCCAATGTTTTTTCATTCCTCTCATATCTTTCTCTATTTCTCGGCGTAATGTGTCCCTTGGCCTTCCTCTTTTCCTTTTGCCTTGAGGGTTCCATGTGAAGGCTTGTCTCGTGACGCAGTTAGGTGCTTTTCGTAGTGTGTGTCCTATCCACTTCCACTGCTTCTTCCTGATTTCCTCATCCACTGGAATCCGGTTTGTTCTCTCCCACAGTACGTTGTTGCTGATTGTGTCTGGCCAATGAATCCGAAGTATTACGCGAAGACAACTGTTCATAAACACTCGTATCTTCTGGATGATGCCTTTCGTAGTTCTCCATGTTTCCGCTCCATACAGTAGAACTGTCTTGACATTTGTATTGAAAATCGTGATTTTGGTTTTGGTTGAAAGTTGTTTGGAGTTGCAGATATTTTTCAACTGTAGAAATGCAGCCCTCGCTTTGTCAATCCGCGCCCTCACATCTACATTGGATCCACCTTTCTCGTCGATGATGCTGCCCAGAATTACGGAGATTTACTCGATGATAAAATAGTTTATTTCATTGTCAAACATATTTTGGTATAAATCATATTGTATAGTTTTCATGTATAATAGAATCGATTATTCTCTTTTGAATAGTTCATATCAAGTTAGTTTTAATTGCTGGTAATTTTCCTATTTCTCTTTTTATTTTTATTTTTTGAATAGTCGAGTGCTTACATCCCGTTCAACTTTCAGTCAATTGCCAGAAGGTTTTCGTGGTGAAGCAGGTCCAATTCTCGGTTATCCAAATCCAATAATTCTACCGACAAATGAATCTGTCAAGTCGGATTCTCAACAACAACAACAACACCATCAAAATCAAATAACTATGGAAACATATTTTGTACAACCTCGTAATGTAAGTGTTTAAATATATAGTCTGTTATTGGTTTTCACCCGCTCTCTCTCTCTTTGTCTGTATAATATTGACTTAGTCGGATTTTAAACGAAAACACTAATTTACTATGATCACTTTTTTTCCAAATAGATTGAAGCTTGATTGAAATTCCGAATAAAATTCGTTAGATTTCGATCTAGATGTGTTGTAGAAGCGAAATTTTTATCTATCTAACCACTGACAGCCTCGTCGAGCTATGTTTTACGATGTAGGAGTAGGTTGGAAGAAAGCTAGGGGTTGTCAGACCAGAAGATGACAGGAATCTGTGCAGTCATTGACAAGTGGATTGAGACATGTTGATAGGTATCGACTACTTGATTGGGACCCACGAGATGATGGTAATCGATGGTTAGGGAATCTGAATGACATGGTTTGAGACCGTCTGCAATGGCGCAGGTGTATTCATTCATTGTGTTCTCTCAAATCCTAACCTTCAGAGTTCCTCATCACTTTATCTTTTCTCTCACTAGATTGTGCTTCTCGAATAATATCTTCGAACCCTAATCTCTCTCCAATTATTGTTAATACTCCTACTACCTTTACTACAATAGGATCTGAATTGACAATTGCATCTCTGTGCTAATGTGGTCTGACAGCTTGAACTGATGTACGTACGTGCGAAGTTCTATATTGTAGTTGACTGACTGACTGACTGACTGACTTTAAGGTGTACTCTTCTCTAATTACTCCTTATTTTGTCTCTATAAAAGAACACAACTCATCGATTGTTTTTTCTTTCAAAAGTTCGATTGATTTCTCACTTTGATTGATTGATTGAAATACCGTCACTCATTATAATAAAATATATTTCTACGTCAATTCAAACTCACCGGGCATGTTATAAACATGTTACTTGTTTCGTACTATATGTGTACTGTTGTGTTCTTTCGATGTTTTAGCGTTGTTTGCATTTGTTGGTTTCAGTTTTTCTCATTTCAATTAAACAAATTACCGATTTCCATGAGTTTGTATACACAAAAATTTGATAAAAATATTTCTTTTTGCCTATTGAAATCACCAATCAATCAATCAATCATTGTTAGACCACCATTACAAACCTGGAAGCACTGATAGACAGCCGTTTCTTCCTGGTATGTGATTAATCAGCAGTGCGCATCTACGACTCCTGCACCTCGCAGGGTTTTGAACCTGAAACCTTTGGTCTTGCGCTCGAACGCCTCACCTCTGGACCACTGGGTTGGCATCTGACGGTGTTAATGTCTAATTCTGATCAATCTACAGATTTGGCGCCATCTCACCCATTTGTCTTTGGTAGTTACTGCCTACGTCTGACAGAGTTGAACACCAGTAGTCACGTCTTCTCAACTAGAACTCCAAAAATTTTCTCACGAAGCTAGTCACTAGTGAGCACATGTGAGATGCAGGAGTCATAGATGCGCACTCCCACTAATGAGTCCCATACTATAGGACGTAACTGCTATCCAGTGCTTCCAAGTTTCTAATGGTGATGGTCTAACAATCATTGATTGATTAATAGATTGATGATTTTAATGTGCAAAAAACACACTAATCTGCATAACTCTAATTGAAAAATTAAAAATGTTATTTTTCATTTTAATATCCGGTCGTGTACTTGTTATCATTGATGAAATTACTTCTTAGTTTAAAGTGATTTCTAGTATGACCAATGATATCTATCGCTATCCCTCCTCTTTGTTTTGTTGATTGATTAGCTAAATTCAATCAATCATTGTATGGAGATAAATTTTTCTGATTTACAAACAAGAATAAACTTGTTAAGCTAGAAGTTTGTTGCTACTAGTCACACTAGTCAAGCATGCTTAAATAATTTACATATTTCAATATATATAACATACTGGTTATTCGCTCTCATATTCATTCTACCATGTTTCTTTATCTTTTGAGTATTTGATAGACCGACATTGATTTCGTAGTTGGAGCATGAATATATATATATGTATATCCACCTTTTGACTATCGTGTCATAGGTTCAAACGTCACCTCGATGTGTACTATCTCTCTAGTCCTTATACTGGTTTTCGATCGTAGGTGTCTTCGAAGCACTGCTCATATATCGTGGGACACCCGAGTGAGCAACGCTGTTATTAGAAAACAGGTGCTAGGTAAGAATTGCAGATCAATAGACGCAGTAGTGACACTTCATCAATTGAGGTGATTGGGACATGTGTTGCATATGCCCAACCACCGACTGCCTCGTCGAGCTTTGTTTTGTAGTGTAGGAGTAGGTTGGAAGAAAGGTAGGGGCGGCCAGATCAAAACATGGCAGAAATCCATGACGTCAGTGACAAGTGGACTTAGCCATGTCAGTAATTGTCGTCTACCTGGTTGGGGTTCGCGAGATGATAATAATCGATGGTTAGAGACCTTGAATGACATGTCTCAAAACCGTTCGCGATGGCGCCAGTGCATTTATTCTGTGTTCTCTCAAATCCTAATCTTCTGGATTCTTCAACACCTCTAGTTTTGGCTTTCTAAACTTTTCTCATTGAATCATACTTCTTGAATAATATCTTCTAATCGTAACCTCTCCGATTACTTCTAATACCTTTACTACCCCTTCTACTATTGGATTTGAATTGACAAATATATCTCTGTGTGGTAATGTGTTATGGCGACATGAACTGATGTACTTGCGTACGAGGTTCTACGTTGCATCTGTCTGTCTAACATCAACTGATTGAAAATCAAATTTTATCATCATTGTTTATTGAAAAATCGGTTTGAATCTATCTCCTTGGGATGACTCCTAATTAACAATTTGTAACATTGCTTTATTTTACTGAAAGAAAAGTAGTTATGCTCTTGCTAGATAGAGTTAAAAACTAACTAATTGCTGCAATAAGTTTTTGCTTTCGCCTCTTAGCCCTCGTGGGGCATTGGCCATCTCCTAGCAGTTTCCAGCCAATGTCAGGGAAGTTAGTCATACTCATTTCCTTCTGTCAGCGAGGTTGTTGCTTACGATTTTGAGAGGATGAAAAGCGAATATTTGACACGTTGAGTGGGTTGGTGGGTACTGAAGATCATCTATCTAGGGGGAGTGGGAAAATCTTGATACTAAACCAATGATGCACATAGTCTCCATGATCTTTATAGTTAGTAAGACATCCAATATTTATACTGATGATAAAACTAAGGGACAAGACCCTCGGTTTACAAAGTTCTGAAAGTAACAGGCGTTTTTTTTTACATCTAAGTGCAAAGTACTAACTAAATAGACATCCATCTATTTCACTGTGAAACATTTCTCTATCCTATTCTTTAACAACAATTTCTGTTAAGCACTCTAACCCAAACTTCCAACCTTTTTAGCGTTTTGATATGATAAGCTATCTATATAATAAATCAACTTCATTTTGAATGACTGAAAATTTACGTAATTTTCTTAGGGTTATTTTAGAGATTGCTGTATGCCTCATATTGAATACACGTACACTATCCCTTTCAAAACTCCGCCTGTGACTCTTCCAGGGTTTACTGCCAGTCCCAGGCCCGAATAAAGGAAGAATGTTTGCTTTTGGGTTAGCAATCCTATCCCAACTGTAATCAAAATAATTCAAACCATTGGAACTCTACCATGGAAGTTTGAAGGTCTTCACTGATAAGAATTATCACTCATAATGAAAGCCGAGTCCCCTCAGAAGTCATGAGGCTGATGCTCCTTCTCACAACCAGACCAGCCATTAACATGAATACATGGAGTGTTTGCACAATGTATAGGTTAGCGGAAGAACTGTTCAAGTTGCTGCGAAAATAAAACGATACGGTCTCGTGCTCCTCGAAATAAGTGAAATACACTGGATGCTGCAGGTTGGACAAAAACATTTAGCTTTAGGAGAGATGTTGTTGTACTTGAACCATGTAGAAAAACATGCCACACACACACACACAAAGAGTTGCAGACGTAGCGACCTACTGCACAATAAACTCGTCCTTTGGTTGTTCTCCGATAACTATCTAAGTTCTCGATACGCAGATTTATTTATTGAAAAGTATTAACCTAGTGATAGTGTGTATCTAGAGGAGTTACCATATTTCCCAACTTGTTCATAAATTTGAATAGTCTATTTTGAATAATAAATATTTACACGGCTGTCCAATATAGGAGCAGTGGATATGTGGTGTGTGCTACTTATAAGTAGTATATGACGTGAGTGTCAACGTAATGTCTGGGAGCAGAAGATGGGGGAAGATCAAGAAAGGAAGAGTTAGAAGAACACAATGGAATTTATATGAAACGCATGAATAGTGAGTGACAATGGATTGATGTTTTGCAACAGGAACAGTCCAGTTCGATATGATGATGAACTGACATTTTGCAAATTAACGATTTACGATATGGTTTTCCGATTTTACTACTGAGTAACTCTGTAATTTTCGTTAAATACAATCCGGTTGCCCCACCTGTGTTCTCGTTCACTACAGATATAAGGTTCAATCCTTCCTAAATATCGATAATTGACAATTCTAATTTGGATCCTCACTTCACAACACTGTTTATAGATTTATCACTAATTTCTTACATACTCTCTCTCTCTCTATCTGAATTCTTTTGCTTAAGTGTATTGTTTGTTCTCAATGTGTATTCGTTTTTCCATGCTATAAACTATAACAGAATTTTATACTTTTCAATTTCATTTCATATGGTTGGTTGGTCTATTCACATTATTCCATACAGCCTAATGGATTGTAACCGTCCTACCGCTTTGTATTCATATTGATTACTTTTCATGTGCAAGGATGTATTTTTGTGTGTAGAACTACTAACTTTTCCTGCGACCACATTTAAATTATTCATATACATAATGATGAGTTAAATTCTATTGTAACTTTGAATTATTCATATCTCATCTGCATACAGTCTTTCTTACCTCTGGTGTATTATTTAATACTATGCGGTCATAAGCATTTTCATAGTTAAATACTATATGCGGTAGCTGCATATTCTGTGTTTAATTATTAGTGGGGGTATTTGCTGCACATTATTTCTAAAGAATGTCACACTCCCATGTGGACCAATAATATTATTCCAATTGAAATCAAACAGTTGCAGTACGTTCACATGCATCATCTGAGTTAGTTCATGTTTAATTTGGTTCAATCATTGTGATTATGTTTATTGAACTGAGTGATTCGTTTAGGGAATAACGTATTTGTACCGTTTGTACTGTTATGAATGTCGCTCTTGTTTGAACAGGTATAAGTGTGAACATGGCTTACCGTTTACGCTCATTCATTCATTCTGTTCGGTTTAATTGTTAGCTTCTTAGATATTTCAATGACTCATCCATTTTCCTATGTATAATATATATGTACATTTGCATTACGGGGTTGTGAAGATTGTTAAGTTACACATTTTTGAAACCATGAATCGATCAATGTTAGACCACCATTAGAAACCTGGAAGCACTGGACGGCCGTTTCGTCCTGGTATGGGACTCATCGATGGCAGTGCGCATCCACGACTCCTGCACCTCGCAGGGAAGACGTGACCAGTGAAGTTCAACCTGTTCGGGTGTAGGCAGTGTTTACCGAAGACTGTGTATGAGGTTGCGCAACTCCGTGAATTTGATCAAGTTAGACATTAACACCGTTGGGTACCGGCTCAGTGGTCTGACGGTTAGGGAGTTCGCGCACAATACCGAAGATCCTGGGTTCAAATCCTGCGAGGTGCAAGAGTCGTGGATGCGCACTGCTGAGGAGTCCCATATCAGGATGAGACGGCCGTCCAGTGCTTCCAGGTTTCTAATTCTGGTCTAACATTTATCGATTCATGGTTTCAAAAAATATGTACATTTTTCCTTACTCATTTATTCGTTAACTCGCTCACTCGCTTGTTTGCTTGCGTTTCGGCACTCGCATATTAATTTTACGTTGCGTGCTTGTGGTTTGTTGGTATGTTTGTGGTGTGCTAAATAAACGTATTCAACACTTCTTATTCCTCTTTTGATTTATAAAATCGTGAGGCGATATTTAGCAATGGTTGTTTGGTCGAGCAGCATACCAAGTCTAGGAACATATCGAATACTGACCGCCATTAAATTAGTGAGGCGCTCACCGGTCACCACACAAACATCGCCTATATTCAATCTTGTTCATTTCTATCCTGCATTTTTATTTGTGTTTCACTTACGTAGGTGATGATGAATTTTGAAGATTGTTTGCTTTTAAGTAATGATGTGAATGAATGACTTTTACGACTTGATTAATGTTTTAAAAGTTCATTCCTATCCAGGTTTTCATGTAATAAATAAAAATTCAATTCAACTCTCAATGAACTTTAAACGAAAGTTTGTTATTATCTTTTAGATTTGAATTTCTGTCATGATCACACTTTCTATGAAAACATATATTAGTCAGTATGTGGTTGTGATGTATTGACTAGTAACTATCTTCGAAGGGAGAAATTCCCAGAGTTTTAGTAAGAAGCTGTGACTAGTGTTGGGTGTTATGAGGGAGTTAACTAACCATCAAAGACAATCGATGTTGGTCGTTCAATGTTGTGATTGTTCGGATGTAGACAACGTTGGATGACGGCTCAACAATTGTTTAGCGTTTAAACGTTTACTGACAAGGCCTATGGACAAGGCTGTCATCTAGTGTGTTGCTAAGTTTCCAAACGGCTGCCTAGCTACAATTGGTTTTACTAATTCATATTTCACAATTGATGCATGCTTGTTACTTAACTATGGTTGTTATGTATCGATGACATTGAATAACGAACGCTATAATTCATTATCTGCTATTTGAAAGTCAGTTTATGATAGACATTAATTAATATAAGACGTCAAGTGATGTTCATCAAGGTCGTCTGCTTTCGCCATTCTTATTCCACTTTGTCATAGACATGCTTTTAGAGACGACACTTTCATCGTTTGACTTTTTTCAGCGGTAGAGGCTCGATTGACTTTTGGCCAACCTGAGTCATTTATGACTTAGGCAAGATATACTACGTCTGAAAACCAAAGGGCGAGTGTATATTGTGCAGCAGTTCCTTCTGTCTTACTATATGGATACGAAACATGGCCGGCAAGAGTAGAAGATATTTGTAGGTTATTAGTATTCGATTATATATGTCTTCAAAGTATCGCTCGTGAATCCTGGGACAACCGAGTAAGTAATACTGTCGTTAGGAAACGAGTACTAGGTAGGGATGGTAAATTAGTAAATGAAGTAGTGAAATTTCATCGGTGGAGTTGGTTGGGACATGTTTTACGTATGCCCAACCACCACGATATTGTAGGGGTAGGCTAGAAGAAAGCTAGGGGCGGCCAAACCAAAACATGGCACAAATTCATGAAGTCACTGACAAGTGTACTGAGTCATGTTGGTAGGTGTAGACTACCCAGTTGGTCTCTTCGTGGTGATAGTAACCGCTGGTTAGAGACCTTTGAATGACATGGCTCAAAAACTTTTGCAATGACGCATGGTGCATTCATTCTTTGTGTTCTTTCATGACCTTTTTAGCTGAAGACCTTTTGTTATCGCTTCAAATTTATTTCACTAGATTATACTTCTTGAATAATTTCTTTTAACTTTAGTCTTTCCGATTACGGCTATTACTTTTACTACTTCTACCACTATGTAATATGAATTGATGTGGTGTGGCGAGTTGAACTGATGTACACACGTATGAAGTTCCACATTGTAGCTGATTGACTGAATATAAAGCTTTAAGTAGGTCAATAAATTTTTTAATTACTTTAGTCAGTTACATTTATATTCATTTTGAAACTAGAATGTAAGCAAGTTACTTCTGTGTGAGTCAGATTGATGTTCAATGTTTTTTAATTTGCCTATTCAATGTTTATTTTTTCCGGTTTGAATTTCTACTTCTTCGTTTCAACTATTCAGTCGCGTATTATCCTCCTTTTTTTACCCTGTTTGAAGGTGCCTATTTTCTGATTTGTCCATAGTTCTTTAGTGTATGTTAAGCATGTATTCACTTTTAATGTGATAGGAGGTATATTTTTACACTTACGTTGCCTGCCTCGAATCACTATTTTGCAGTCTTTCTTAAATCAATCTTCGGAGTGGTCGACGTCGATAGGAATAGATGATTTTCGGTATTCAGATAGTTTAATTAAATAAAGTTAGCGATTATTGCAATTACTTCCTGATACATCGATTTTATGCTTGATATTAATACTATTTAACAAAGAATTATGTACTAAGTGTACTCTACCTATCGTCTTTCGCTGTATTATACCGGGTGGTAAGCCGATCATTCTACTATCAAGTTTTGTGGAAACGTTTATGTTGTAGATAATTTTTTTTTAACATTGTACACTGGATATTTATTTTATCGAAATTCATAATCTGGGTATTTAATGATTTGCGTGTGTCCTAGTTCTGAACGTGATACTCATTAATCACCACTCAAAAACTAACTGGTTAATGAAGAATGCAAGCGAAATAGAAAGTCCTCATTGGAAAACGGAAGATGATGATACGTATCTGTTCTTTTGGATATAACTTGGCCGCATCTGGTTAGCACATCTTATTAAGGAGGACACATGTAACGATACACTGGTTCGTATTCGACAAATTTGGGTTTCACAAATTTTTATCTAACAGAGTCATGTGACTATCAATTCATTAAAACAATGATCATTATGTATTTCCTAAGTACTCGATTTTTAGCATACGTGGATTGTATGTATACTGAACACTGTTGATACCGTTCATATATATATATATATATATATATATATATATATTATCCCCTTTGTTTTTCTGAAATAATTTTAGGAAATGAAAACTACTACCGATGCCTTGAATCCAATCGATATCAATGGTTCAACTGCTGATTGGTTGACATTGACCAATGTTGACTTGAACTCAGCAAGTATGGTGACTACCCGACTCGCATCAGCAGCTGCTATTCTATGCCGACATGTCATGACTAACATTAATAATTCATCATTGGACAATAATAATAATGATGTTAGTAATCAGAACCATACCACCAAACAAACTATGTTACCTAAATTACCATTGGATTTCTTATTTCATTCTACAACATTTGATCAACATCATCGTGACTATCAGCAACACCGACAGCACCACTTACAACATAAACAACATCACGATGAAGATGAAGAATCGAAAGCGATTCAAGTGAATTTATTACATCTACTAGCTAACAAAGAATTTGATTCGCTGGATTATGCCGATTGTAAACATCATGAGACGACAGTTACTGCCACTGCTGTTACTGCTACTACCGCCAATACAACTGCCACGACCAATGATTTGCATAATTCTCATCTATTGGACTCCAACCTCTATCACCCCCATCATCCTAATCATCATCATCAAAAGCTAAACGATGACGAGCCATCTTCAACAACTGCTGAGCAACTTGCAATGATTGCTGTTAACTTGGCGAAATCATTTGATAGAGATCAATTGAATTGTGATGATATTGAAGGCAATGATGATGATGATATTGCGCAGTGTTCGAATAAATTTATTCCATGTCAAAAACGAATTGGGAAATTAAGAAAGAATTGGTAATGTGTTAACATGTGTGAAAGTTGTTTTTTTGTTTTCCTTTTACGATTGTCTGCGTGTGTGTGTGTGTTGTTGTTGTTGTTGTTGCGCATATTGTCATTGTTCGGTGCTTGGTAATTTATTGGTTAAGGCGTTCAAGTCTGATCCCTGTTTCAGTTACCATACATCAGCTTATAATGACTTGGGTTATTATGTTTTATTAATCTGTCTCTAAGTCCTGTACACAACTTCATACACTTCACAAGTGAATAACATCAACTATTTGTCATTCTTTATTGTTGTTATCATTTTTATGAAGTTTAGAACTCTTGAACGTGTGTCACATGGTAGTAGGAAACAATTAGACAAGTTAAAAAGTAGTAGTAGAAGAGAGGAAATAAAATTGTATACATTTTTTTCTCCAGGATAAGTTGGATACTCAATGTATTATTTCCAAATCAGATCACTAAAATTAAATCACGTTCGTTTGATGATCTGAGTTGTTTACTTGATCACTCGATGATGGATGTCGCGAATCATCCATCCACCGATAAAATCGGATTACAGTTTCAAAGTTC